CTCTGGGCCGGACAGGGCCGGCGGCCGGGCCAGGACAGGCAACAGGTGAAAGCAGCTGGCTTTAGCAGAACAACGACACACACCAGGACCAGGATCTCTCCGTTGAACCGAACCACGCAAAAGAGTGATGTGGCGACTCCCCCCGACTCCCGCCGCTCTCGCCCCGCTGAATACAATGCCTGGCCATTTTGGCGGAAGGAGGAGGTGCCGTGTGCGCCTGACACCATCTTGCAACATTTTGCCACAATACGCGGCTTCGGCCGGCTTCTTTCTTCCTTTGTGTGTTTGACGACTTCTCGGCTCGTCACCTCTGGGTGGCCACCCGCGAGTGAAAACACCACCGGCAGGGAATCGGCTCCCTGGCGGAACCCCACGCAGAAGTGTTCAGAGTAAGCCTGGCGACATTTTCATGAGTCCCACCTTTGCCGCCCACAGGTGATGCCGCCCCCGAGTTTCTCGGCGACCCGGACAGCCCCGAGGGCTGCTCCGGCCACACGTGCCGCATGCTGTGCGCGTACGGCTTCGCCACGGACGAGCGCGGCTGCCCGCTGTGCCGGTGCTACGACCCCTGCTCCGAGGTGTCGTGCGGCGGCGCGCTGACCTGCCAGCTGGAGGAGCCCGTCTCGTGCACGCGCCCGCCCTGCCTGCCCGTGCCCACCTGCAAGAAGGGCCGCAGCCTGGACAACGTGTGCCCGGCCGGCGCGCCGCTCACCATGCCCGGCAGCGGCGTGCCCCCGCGCCCCTTCCTCTGCGGCCTGGGCGCCGGCCAGCCGCGCTGCCCGCCGCTGTTTGAGTGCTCCGTGCAGCCAGGTGAGTGCCCGACACGGTGTATAGAGTACACCGTGGTGCCCGACCCGACAAGCATCCCGTTATCGACATCGGAGCTTGATATGCTCCCGCGACCCGGCATCGATATCGGGCTATCGAGTCTGCTTCCGTAAATATCGGCCTTTCTAGGTCGCTTACTCAGCAGCCCTATACCATGGACCATGGAGTTTGGAGATATTGTGCTTTGATACTTTCCCACATTCCGACGTCATCAAAATTTCTCGATATTATCGAGTTTTGTTGCACCGAGTCTGTGGTCGAACTGTGGTCGATGTTATTGTCTCGCGACATGAAGCCCGGGAGGCTGCTCCGCCCTGGCCTAAAGGCCCTGGCCGAGCGCTGTGCTCTGCGCCGGGCTGTGCGCCGCCCGGGGGTTAGGCAGCCCAGCTGACGCGCGTGTGTGTCCCGCAGGCAACGACTACGGCGTGTGCTGCCCGGGCGCGGCGCGCGTGGACAAGGCGGGCGCGTGCCCGGCGCGCGGCGAGCACCTCACCCGGCAGTGCGGCCCGGGCTGCCGCCAGGACCAGGACTGCCCCGGCCCGCTCAAGTGCTGCGACGGCGACGTGTGCGGCGGCCGCACCTGCACGCCGCCCACCAACCTGACCGAGTGCCGCCAGCTGCGGCAGCTGTCCGTGCAGCTGTCCGTGTCGGAGCGCGAGGGCCGCGGCTACGTGCCGCAGTGCGACCCCGTGTCCGGCGCCTTCCGCCCGCGCCAGTGCAGCCGCAACGGCCGCGTGTGCTGGTGAGTGCCCGGGCCTGAGCCTGGCCGCCGCGCCCTGCCCCTGTTGCTGTACTCACGTGGCTCCTCCCCCTGCAGGTGCGTCGACCGCGCCGGCAACAAGCTGCCGAACTCCATGGGGCCCAGCTCCAAGGTGCGCTGCCTACCTCACGCCGCCCTGGACGAGGCCCGCGCGTCCGTGTCGGGCCGCGCCATGGGCTCCATGCCGGAGCCGCCGCGTTGCGACTCGCCGCCGGGCCGCTGTGCGCAGGTAGAGTACTGCGACGAGACCAGCGTCACGGGCGTCCTCGTGGACGTGGGCTTGGCACCCTCCTGACCCACCTGACCCATCGCCTGCCCCCGCAGGTGTGCGAGCTCGGCTTCCGCGTGGACCCCGACGGCTGCCCGACCTGCGAGTGCGACGACCCCTGCGCGGGCGCGGTCTGCGGTTCGGGCGAGGAGTGCTTCGCCGCCCGGGAGCCCGACTGCGACGGCCCGTTCTGCAGCGCCACCCCCATCTGCAGGCCGGCGCCCACCGCGGCGCCCACCGCAGCGCCCACCACCCCGCCAACCACCCCGCCAACCACGACCGGCCAGCCCGACGCGGCCGCCGACGCCAGCCCGGACGCCAGCGTGGACGCCAGTGCGGACACCGTGGCCGTGGATAACCCCACCGAGCGGAGCGCCAGCGCGGACCTGCCGTCGGCCGAGGCCAACAGCTCCGAGAGCAGCGGCCCCGACGCGGACTCTGCCGAGGCGGCGCTGGACGAGGACGGCCACCCCGCCACGAGTGAGTACCCCAGCCTCGGCCCTGAGGGCGCCGCCGCCCCTGAGTCAGGCCCCGCCTTGCTAACAGCAGCCTGCTTGCAGTGTGCGAGTACCTGCGCGACTTCCGCGACAAGATGGAGGGCACGCGCGACGGCATGTCGCTGGCGCTGCCGCCGCCCACCTGCCGCCCGGACGGCTCGTTCAACGACACGCAGTGCGCCGCCGGCGAGTGCTGGTGCGTCGACAGCTTCGGCACCGAGATCCCCCAGAGCAGGTGAGAGCGACCACGCCGCCGTCCCGTCCTCGTTCTCCTGAGGCTCCGGCGAGACCCTCACTGACCTTGACCCGTTGCTGACGCCCTCTTCCTTCCTCCACAGGATCGCGGGCCCGGCGCCGTCGCCCGCCTGCAGCGCGCTGCGCGAGTCCCTGGACTGCCTGGACCTGACGTGCCGCCTGGGCTGCGAGTTCGGCTTCACGCTCTCCCCGGACACGCGCTGCCCGCTGTGCGAGTGCCGCGACCCCTGCGCCGAGGCCAAGTGCGGGCCCAACGCCGAGTGCCACGTGGTGGAGGTGGCCTGCGACGCCGAGTACTGCCCGCCCGTCCCCGCCTGTGAGTACCCCGAGAAACAGGCAGTGTCACTATTCATTGATGGCATACTGAACTTTCAAAAATTTCCTATTTTTGGGAACGCAAAATTGTCTCCCGTTGCCCGTGGCGAAAAGTTCGCCACATTTGCAGGGGTGACGCATTTTAAATAGTCTCCTAAACCAACACGTTCCTGCAACAGTCGACACATTTGTTTTCCTTTAAAACAAAGTGTTTATGGACATCTGTGAATAATGCCGCCCCTCTGTCCTCGCAGGCCTGCCCAAGAAGCCGGGCCAGTGCCCGTACCTGGTGCCGGTGGGCGCGGGCTCGTGCGACTACCAGTGCCGCTCCGACTACAACTGCAACGAGACGGCCAAGTGCTGCTCCAACGGCTGCGGCACGCAGTGCATGCAGCCCGTGGTCATGACCGAGTGCCAGCACCGGCGCGCCATCCTGCAGCACGAGTCGCACGAGTCGGGCATCCCCGCCGGCCGGCTGTGGGTGCCGCGCTGCCGCGAGCGAGACGGCGCCTACGAGTCGGTGCAGTGCCACCCGGGCAAGGGCCAGTGCTGGTGCGTGGACGCGCACGGCCAGGAGCTGCCCGGCACCCGCACCGACGGCGACCAGCAGCCCGACTGCCGCGCGCGCAACGGTGAGTAGAGGGTCACGGCCGTTCTCTACCCTGACGAACGAGGGGTAGATAATTCATGAATTAGGTGTGCAAAATTTATGAAACGGATTTGAATTGGCTTGAATTGGACAGAATTGGTTGAATTGGTTTGAATTATTACGACTTTACTTTACTGAATTAGCGTGAATTGACTTAAATTGAATGTAAATTGTCTTGAATTGGACTTTATTGCTTGAATTAATTTTGAATTGGTTTGAATTAGTTTGAATTGGTTTGAATTAGTTTGAATTGGTTTGAATTGGTTTGAATTAGTTTGAATTGGGCAGAATTAAGGGTGTACACTTAGCCGGGGAGTTATCCACCCCTCGCTGACGTGTCTTCGCGCTGCCCGCAGCCGTGTCGGCGTGCCCGGCTCTGCGCTGCGAGGAGGCGTGCCCCCACGGCCACCAGCTGGACGCGCGCGGCTGCCCGACCTGCCGCTGCCGCGACCCCTGCCAGGAGCTGCAGTGCCGCGGCGAGGGCGAGGCCTGCCGCATGGTGCAGGTGCAGTGCGCCGACCCGCCCTGCCACAAGGTGAGTAGCCCTCCCTCGGCCCTCACCTACGCGAGCCTCGCTCTACGCGCTCAGAGAGCGATGACTCTGATCCTATGGCGCCTGCGGATCGCGAGGTAGGCATCACCGCTCGACACTCCTTTGCCGCTGGGCTGCCTACCTCGTCCTCGCCAGGCGCTCGCCGTGTCGGCGACGCAGTCGCGCTGACAAACACTACAAAGAACACCTTTTCTCACTTCTTCACCCCGTCATGCTCGCACGCTTGCAGGTGCCCATGTGCCTGCCGCACAGGGAGAACCCCTGCCTGACGGGCCAGCCCCTGGAGTCGACCAGCACGCCCGGCGGACTCTTCCGCTGCGGCCCCAGCGGCGACTCCTGCCCGGCCAGCCACAAGTGCGAGCTCAGCCCGCTCGGCGAGTACGCCGTCTGCTGCCAGAAGCCTCGTGAGTGTCAGCCTAGTTCCTCTCTTGCAGTTTGTTATTCCACGGTGAAATTATACAACCTACGTAAACCTATTTATGATATAAGGTCCTCTTGGCCCTAACAATAATAACAGAAATATAGCTGTTGGAACGTTGACGTAAATGCAGGGACGTTGTGGTGCTTTAATTGTTTCTCCCGCCGTGCGCCGTGGAGTTAGGCCCCCCATCCGTCGCCTCGGCAGCGTGGAGTGCGGCTCACCTCACTGAGCGGCGGCGGCGGCTGGCGGCGGCTCTCGCTCCTGGGCGGCAACCGTTCCGCGTGGACGGAACAACTACTGTTCTCCCTCCAAATGTTTTTTGTGGTTGGGTGCTGATCGGTTTCACTGCCCCCTCAGGTGACGTGTGCTTCGAGCCGGTGCAGGCGGGGCCGTGCGAGCCCGGCGCCGAGCGCTGGCACTTCAACCCCGAGCGCAACTCGTGCCAGCTGGTGCCGGCGGGCCAGTGCGGCGCGCAGCACAACTCGTTCCCGACCAAGGAGATGTGCAACAAGGTCTGCCCAGGTGAGGCCCACGGCTCTGATGGACCAGAAGAAATGACTGGTTTTTAAGCATATCCCTGAGACGAATTTTGTCATCTTTCTGGAAGGAAATTGTCAAAGTGAATTGGTATACTTTCATTATTCATAGGCGTTGTTTAGTGAGTGCTGCGCTTAGAAACGTAACTTTTGCACGGATAAAACAGCGCCTCATGTTTTATTTTCTTCCTCACGACAGTCCTGAGCCAGTGCGAGCGGCTGCGCGAGAAGAACCAGAAGGCGGCCGACAAGTACAAGAAGTGGACGTTCATCCCGCGCTGCTCGGCCGAGACGGGCGCGTGGCTGCCGCTGCAGTGCCTGACGCAGGTGGGCGTGTGCTGGTGCGTGGCGCCCGACGGCCAGCCCATCAAGGGCACGCTGACCCGCGACCCCAAGCCGTCGTGCCCCGCGGCCAGCTCGGCGGCCAGGGCCAGCAGCCGGCAGGCGCGCCGCCGCCACGACCCGCTCTGGGCGGAACCGGAGCAGGGCGCGGAGGACCCGGAGGAGGGTAAGCACAACTACGCCACCCTTGGGATTTATTTTATAAAAGCCCCAAAAATTCTGGAAACATTGGAACCTTTTCCAGAAAAAAATCAAACATTTTTAGTGAAAAACCTTCAAAAATATCTCAAAAATTAATTTCCGGAAACTTCAAATCCCTGCTGGTTCTGTGGTTGCAGCTGTCGCCAAGCTGCTTCGCGGCCTGGACCCAGCGGTGGCCGAGCTGCTGCAGCGCCTGGACCAGCCGCTGCCCGCAGCGCTGCCCGCCTCGCTGCCCGTGCCGCCCGAGAGGCGCACCCGCTGCCTGGCGCTGAGGGACCGCGCCGAGGACGAGGCCTCCGCCCTGCAGTGTGACCACCACGGCGGGTGAGCCGAGCTGAGCGGCACATGCACGCTGATGACGATGCGGCTGTCCTGTGGCAACGCCCCACGGTGCAACGCCCTTTGTTAACATGATTGTCCTTCGGGCAGGTTCGCGCCGACCCAGTGCCTCCCCAAGGACGACCCCGAAGGCGAGTGCTGGTGCGTCGACGAGGCAGGCAACCAGCTTGTCAACACCACTACGTTTAAACGTGGTGCCAAGATCTGCTGTAAGTGCAAACAACTTTTTCGCTCCGGGTGTACTGGGTAAACGACGACCAATTACACTTCTGACCATTGCTTCCTACCGGTTGACTCTACCACTGTTTGCCTGCACGCACGAAGGCATTTGTCTTATGTTTTTGAATGTCATCGTGCGTGCCGCGCCGCGCCATTGTGCTCACGCATGCTAATCCCTCCCGCAGTGCCCACGCCCATCGAGGCGGTGGAGGTGTCGCTCGGCTTCCTGGGCGAGCCCGGCGTGGTGGACGCGCGCGCGGAGCTGCTCGTCCTGGAGGCGGTGCGCGGGCTGCTCGCCGGCCTCGACCAGTCCGGGCCCGGCGGCCCCGGGACCGCGCGGACGGCGACGAGGAGCGAGGGTCTGCGCGTCACCCTGGGGCCCGGCAGGGCCGTGGCCACCTTCAGCCTGCACGGCCCCGGCAAGGTGGACACGGCGTTCCACCTCGAGGAGATGGTGAGTCCTGCTGCAGTCCCGCTTCATCCCGCCGCCGAGCCCCGCCCCGAGTCACCACCGCTCTAATCTCGCTCTCCGCAGGTCAAGTCCGGCGCGCTGAGCGTGGGCCACGAGTCCGGGTCGGCGATGGTGGCCGACATCACGCAGTCGCGCTTCAGCCACCGCGTGGCGCAGCTCGACGCGGACGACGAGGGCGGCAGGCCGCCGCCGAGCCGCGTCATCGCCCTGCAGCACCGCGAGATCGTGTCCGAGTCCACGGTGTCCGAGGTCACGTCCTACCACACGGCCATCCTCGTGCTCAGCGCGGCCTCGGCCTTCGTCATCGTGGTCCTGGCGGTGTTGGCCGCCCTGTACCGCCGCCGCATGATCGTGGCCGCGAAGCAGGGCGGGCAGCACGGCCAGGACGACGACGATGACCGCTTCGGCCTGGGGCCGGGCAACGAGCCCGTGTACGTGGTGCGGCTGCCGTCGCCGCCGCCCCTCGACAAGCACGGCCGGGTGCTGGGGGTGCCGCTGGGCGTGCCGCTGGCGCAGGAGGACATCAAGGACATCAAGGCGTGATGCTGTCCAGCCCGGGACCCGCGGTCCCCTCGCGTTTTAAACGGATGACTTTTAACGCTGTGCAAAGTTCTCACTTTAAAAGTCATAGGTTTGAATAGTTGGCGCTGTTCTTGTAGTGCTCCAGCCGGTACTGTCCAGACCTGACCAGACCATTACGCTGGCAATCAAGAAGGACGGGAAGGAAAATGTTCCACTCGCGGCTATAAGTTCTTAAATTGTTTTTTTATCTCGAAAATCCGAGCAAATTTTTAAAGTGGGCTGTGACAGTTGTTGAGGCCAGTCGACGGCGACAGGTTTTGTGTGGAGCCTGTTCAGGTTTAGTCCTGGTAGACATGGTGGCTCCACGCTGGCCGCGCGCTGCGAGTCCTTCTGGAAGAATTGAGTTAGTTTGGGCGCGTAGCCAGGATTTAACTTTGGGGGAGGTTATGTCTCCCCTTTTGCCTACTTACAAGCGAATTGGACTTCTAATCGCCTACCCATCAGGCCGTACTCGATGTTCAATCGCCAAAAAGTCGATCACTTTTCCTGGGGGGGGGGGGGGCTTATGACGTGCATGAACTCTCCCTTGGTGTCATCTCTCGTGGCCTGGGTGACGGCGTCTTGCGAAGATCGTTGTATAAAATTTATGTCGAGTTCATCCGGTACGTCTTCGAATACTGCTGATTCGAGAGGCCACTTTACAAACTTGAGTGTTGGCAACAAGGATCGGAGTGGGAAAAAGGATCGTGCTTCGTTTCAAGAACCGTACCAGTTAATTATGTCGTCGACTGAGGCCTACAATCCCAGGCCAAGCCGACATTATCAACCAAGTCCTAACTGTCGCGGTTCCCCATTTCATCCTGCGATGGAGAGTCACTTCGATTTCCCCTCTCCCCTCCTGTGTTTCAATATGCAGGCGGCCAGGAAATGAAGAAGTAAAGAGTATCACGCTGATTTAGATTAAAAGTTTTCATCATTGTAATATATTCAAGCGTTGAAAAATGCACCTGTATAAATATTCATAACGATTAAGAGAGTCATTCAAATCGAGTGAGTACGATGTTTATGTGTGATTTAAGTGCCTAATTTTTGAGTGAATGTGCAACTATGAATAATTAGTTAAATTAAGGGGCAATGTTATTTCAATCTGCAGAAGGGGAATAATCGCCCTTGTTTCGACTATTCTGACTGAGGAAAATACTCCCATCACAATTCAATGTAAGGTTACTTTTGTGTGTGAAAACATTGTTACTTAAAATTAAGTTTAAGGCTTTTTAAACTCTCAGATATCCCAAACAAGTTTCCAAGGCATACTGAAATATGTCAAAAATGTAACTTATTTGCAAATGTAAAAATTCCACGTTTCATGCTACTGGATCGTTTCATCTGGTGTGGAATACTCGATTTCTGACTGTGTGGAGAGTTTCACTTTAGCTTTTTGTAGTAATTTATTTATGTAGAGTTACTCCCTCCCTGATATTGTCATCACCTTGCCTCTCAGAGCTGACTGCGATGTAAAATCAATACTTGTGAAATAAAGACTTGATAGACGTATGCTGGCTATCTGATTGTGCTTTAAAAGTCGCCACTTTCAAATCACTCCCCCTTTCACTCTCTTTAACGGACATACTAGGCGACTGACTCACACACTGACCCTGCCTGGCGCGCAAGCGTGCAGGTAGGTTGCCTATTTTGCTTGGGGCTTTATGGCACCGTAAACTCGACGACGATAGGCAAACCCACGTCTGTGTACTGTGTGTTAAGGGCTACGACACAGCAGTAGGCGTGTTTGCCTACTCGCTCCACCCGTAAGGCGCCAAATGGCCCCTAGGGTGTGCAATCCAGCAACACTGGTGTGTCGCCTCCCCCCTCCCCCGCCTGTCACACAATTCGGTGCGGCATAAGGGATCGTCCAGTAAGTACGTCCATTTTTCTCCGATTCATTCGACAAACTGTCGGAGCCCAGCGCCTGCGAGACTCTGGATAGGCCACCCCGCAGCACACGCGTGCACTGTAGGCACGATTTTGCCTGCCTACCAGGCGCCATGAAAGCCTCCATGGTGAACTCGGCAGGTTCGTAACGGCGAATGAGAAACGCACTGTTTTTCAACGAATGTGACGTCACATTCGTTTCAATGTTAATCGTGTCACGTTCGTTTGAATGTTGTGTCATACTCGTTTAAACGTGAATCGGCCAAGCCTGGGCGCCATTAGAGCATCACCTCACCTGAAATCACGTTTAAATGAATGTGACACAATATTCAAACGAATGTGACATGTTTCACATTAAAACGAATGTGACGTCACATTCCTTGACGTACTTTCTGGATGATCCATAACTACGAAAGGGTTGATGAGTCGCCCGGCACGTTTGGTTGTAAAGAAGCCTCCATTATTTTCGACCACATGGAGGTAATTTGAGAGCAGATTGCTGCATTTGAGTACGCGTGGTCGTCCACTTTGTGGTCGTGTACGAGAAATTGGACGGTATAATCTGTGCTGTCCTTTTTGACATTGGTAGAGAGAGAGAGAGAGAGAGAGAGAGAGAGAGAGAGAGAGAGAGAGAGAGAAGGGGGGGGGGCGTTGTGACGATGTGACCAGAACAACAGCGGGTGCCGGTGAGTATGATTAGTGGATATTACCGTGATCTGCCGTGATCTACGTTGAGATAGCGGAGTGGCGTTTGAATATTGATTAGAGTAGTTTAATCCCCTCCCCTGCTTTCCCAGGAAGAAGTCACTCCGCTCCGCGCCGCTCGCTCTGGCCCTGTTCCATTCGACGGTGGATGAGACCGAAGCTGGAAGTGCCCTCCCCTCCCCATACCCTTTCCTCCTTTCCCTCGCCTTCGGCTTAAGTTACAGGTTTGTGTTTTGCAAGTTCAAGCCCAAGGCCGCACTCGCGAAGCACAGAGGCTACCTTCCCACCGGGCGCGAGCATGATTGGTCTGCTTCTGGGAAGTCCGAAGTGTTTGTGTGTGAGTGAGTGAGAGCGTGCGAGCTCGTCTGTGTGTGTTCGCTGTAACGGGTACGTTACATTTTTAGTCAGTGAACCCTGCGTTGCCTTGGCCGGCCGCG